CTAAGATCTATTGTACAGATGCCAAAGGAAGTGGTGATTGAAAGTAAGGAAATAGAATCCTGGGATGTCACATGGGATCAACGACGTAGGCACCTGAATATTTTACTTATAAGATGTGATGACTTAAAACAATGTTAGGAACTTTTGTCATTGACGAGAGGCCAATTTATAATCATATCAGTTTCAGCAGTGAGCTCCAATTTCCCAGGTGTTGTGAAAATGCAACACATGTTGGAATCTGCAGTTACAATATAGCAAGGAATCACAAGTTGAGAAGAATATTGAAAGCTGTCCCCTGTCATTTGTAAAATTAAATCTGACATCTCTTGCTTTTGAGAATGGGAGGTGAGAATTTCATTGTGAAAATGTATAGGGAAGAGTAAAAGATCTTCAAAAACATTTGTGATTTCAAGCAGTAAATTAAGATAACTTTAACTGGAACTTTTAAACAAAATCTTATCATGCTGCATCATTTATACAATCTTGAAACTTAAAATGGTTGTCCCTCAAATAGTAATGTGAGCAGGGCCAGTGCTGTGGTGTAGCGGGTAAAGCCACCACCTGCAGTGCAGCATCCCATATGGACGCTGGTTCGAGTCCCGGCTGCTTCACTTCCAATCCAGCTCTCTACTGTGTCCTGGGAAAGCTGTGGAAGATGGCCCAAGTCCTTGGGCCCCTGCACCTGCTTGGGAGACCCAGAAGAAGCTCCTGGTTTCAGATTGGTGCAGCCCTTTTCAGAGTGAACCAGCCAATGGAAGACCTCTCTCTCTCTCTGCTTCTGCTTTTCTTTAACTCTACCTTCCAAGTAAATAAATAAATCCCTAAAAAAATAGTGGTGTAAGCCAGAAGAGTTTATCCTGAACTCTCTGCCAACACTGATATTTGGAATATCTAGCAACCAGTACTACAAAGGATTTGGCTAATTAGAAGAGATGCTTAGATGCTGATCTTTAATCCTGTAACAGGGTTGGGTGTCTGAGCCCTACTAGGTATTAATATTTAAGTTGCTAAATTTTGGGGAGGTCCAGTAGTTCCTTGTGGGAAGAGAATGAAGTGATGATATATTGAAGCACATCAAGGGACTTATAGGCAGGGGGTATTTATTTCAGGGTGATGGCCATTACACACTAACATGAAGTATATTAATAATTTAACAAACATAATAGTCATCTGGATGTGAATGAACTTAATCTCCAATTTGTCCTTATTGGACTGAGCAAAAATTTCATTGCCTCTCTAAATGGTTGTTTGTTGTAAGATACCTGTCTCCCTTTACTCATCCTCACAAAAAACTGTGTTGGAAATAATTGATGTAATTCATTAATACATTGACACAGAAAATAGTCACAGTTTAATCAGATTCATAATGATCACTAATGTTTGTCCCAAGGAGCATGAAACCTTCTAAATTTTGCTCCTCTCTTTCCTCCTAGAAGTCATTTCTTAACCTCACCTGATGGTTAACACAGAGTCTAATACTCTATCCTACATCCGGAAGATTCTCTTAAAGTGGTTTATTAAATCACTAAGTAATAATTGAATAATTATAATTGGAAACAATGGCAACTTAGAATTTTGGGCATTCCAACTAAATTTCAGCCCTATATAACTGAATCATTGGAAAATAAACATCAAACAACAATAATTCCAGAAGACGTTCATATAAAAGCAGGCAGATTTAGGAAATAAATGTTGTGGACTGGTCTTGCTTCTTACGAGACATAAATCCCAAGTGATTTGGGTAAAATATTTACAAGTGCTGACACCATCTGCAAGTTAAAGTGGATAATACTTATCGTGGTTGTGTTTTTTTTTGTTTTGTTTTTGTTTTTGTTTTTGTTTTTGTTTTTGACAGATAGAGTTAGAGACAGTGAGAGAGAGACAGAGAGAAAGGTCTTCCTTCTGTCGGTTCACTCCCCAAATGGTCACTACAAGTGGTGCTAGGCCGATCCGAAGACAGGAGCCAGTTGCTTCTTCCTGGTCTCCCATGCGGGTGCAGGGGCCCAAATACCTGGGCCATCCTCCACTGCCTTCCTGGGCCATAGCAGAGAGCTGGACTGGAAGAGGAGCAAGCGGGACTAGAACCCAGTGCCCATATTGGATGCCGGGGCCACAGGTGGAATATTAACCAAGTCAGCCACAGCGCAGGCCCTACTTGTAGTATTTTGACATTCAATGTAGAATGTCTCTAGATATTTATTATGAATCAAGGAGTTGGGTGTTCCTATAGGCAGAGCTGCAACCAAGTCTACATGATACCTTTCTGCAAATTACAAAAAAGAAGCTCTGTAATCTGATGGATCCTCCTGGCTAGACCCCTTTCTACAGTCACACTGCATTGATACTATGTGGCAGAACTTCCAGTGAGATTTGAAATCTCCATGTCTTCCCAGAGTTGTTGGCCTGACATCTCTCAGGCACATGGAAAACCTACTCCCTTGGGTGTCATGGCCCTGAAATCTTGAGGGAGTACATTTATCTATGCTTGGTGTCCAAGAACCTTTATGGCTTCTGTGAGTTCTAGAAGATCCTTGTCTTGGGAAAATGATCAGACATGTTGGGTTTTCACTTACTTTGGGACCCATCTCTGTGTTACCTTATTTATACCACATACTCTTGAGGAAATAATTCCTTTCTGCTATTTTGATGTTTAAAGGATTTTGACGCAAGCAAAGAATGCATATGTCTCCTGTTTTTTCTCCCAAATAGAAGTGGGTGATGTGGGGTTATTTTCCATATTTTAGATTTTGAGATAAGTCATACGGAAGTCCAGATGTTGGTATGTGTTCTTACTTATAAAAATATGGGAATATTTGGGGTACTATTTTGCAAGTCATGAGAACTTAGGATAGACATTCTCAAATGAATGAATCAGTGACCCATAGACATGATTACTAGCTAAATCTTCTGTATTTGGAAAGCAACCTGAAGAACATGGATGAAAAATACCGTCAAAGTCATAGTGAGGTAGCATTTCTCAAAAACAGAACACATCTTCTGCCACTTGAATTAGACTTTATCCAATGTGTTTAATATTATTTACATGTCAGAGTATGACCCTACACTGATAGCAGCATCATCTGGGAACTGGTTGGAAAGGAAGATTCTTTGTCCCCTACTGATATCTGCTGAGTCAGAAACTCTGGGTAGGACCCAGAACTCTGTTTTTAACAAGTCTTCAGGTGATTTTGGCCATCTGCTAATGCTTGAGAAGCACAGATACTTTTTATCCTCACTGGGTAGCTTTAAAAAGAGCATCTGATTTGATTCTCATCATCATCCCATTAGTGTGCCTCAAACAGCTATGTTTCTTCCCATTTGATACATGCTAGATACTCAGAAGTCTAGGACCTTTAGTCAAACTGTCAGTTTTATATATTTATAATTCACTCTTGATTCTATATATGGTACACAAGCATAGTATCAATTTGCTATCTATTCTTGGAGGAAAACCTATCATCATACTTTTTTCATCCACTAAGAAAATTTCTTTGATAATTCTATCTAATTTTTTCACTCAATATTTTATTTATTGCCAGCTTGCTAAAAAAAGATGGAGCATACATAAGATATTGAACAAAAACTTAAAAGATAATGCAAATGATGGAATAAGTCATTATCAAATTTTTAAAATAAAATTTTTAAAACTAAAAGGAAGAATAAATTAAACTTAACCACAATTTTCCCACCCATGCTTAGCATTTAGTTTGTTTAGATTCAAATGTCAATAATAACATTTGTACAATTGTGGAATCATGCATGCAAAATGTTTTGTAGACTTTATTCTTTCCTTAATATATTTGTATATCTTGGATATCTTTCTATGTGTGTGAATTTTCTTTTATACTTACAATCTTCATGGTTCTCCAGAGAACAGGGCCTATAGGATCTGTGTGTGTGTGTGTGTGTGTGTGTATATATATATGTATTATCTATCTAGAAATAGATACAGATAGACTCATATCATCTACCCCCTAGGTACAGATTTATTTTAAGGAATTGCCTCATGTAATTGCAGAAACTGCTATGTTCTAAACCTGCATAATAGCAAACAGCCTAGAGACTCATGGAAAAGTTGAAGTCACAGCTCAAGTCTAAAGCTAGCCTGCTGGCAAAATTCTTCCATTTCCTTGGGGAAGATCAGTCTTTTTTTTTTTTTTTTTAAGGACTTTCATGGATCAGATGAGATGCATTCATATTTTGTTAGGTGATTTGCTTTATTCAAACCTCCTGATTTAAATATTAATCTCATCCAAAAATATATTCATAGCAGCAACTAGGTATATTTGACTAAATATTTGGATGTCATGACTTAGCTGAGTTAACACATAAAATTAACCATCACAAAAATATTATGAGGGTCAACACTTCATTTCATAGATGAGCTATAGTTTAACTAAACCTGTAAGAATAGACATCCAGCTGTACCCAATTCTTTCACTGTTGTACTACACATCTTTGGCTATTTGACGTCATTTTTTAATTTTTAAAAAAATTTTTTTTGACAGGCAGAGTGGACAGTGAGAGAGAGAGAGAGAAAGGTCTTCCTTTTTCCATTGGTTCACTCCCCAATGGCCGCTGCGGCCAGTGCGCTGTGGCTGGCGCACCGTGATGATCCGAAGCCAGGAGCCAAGTGCTTTTTCTGGTCTCCCATGTGGGTTCAGGGCCCAATGACTTGGTCCATCCTCCATTGCCCTCCCGGGACACAACAGAGAGCTGGACTGGAAGAGGAGCAACCGGGACAGAATCCGGTGCCCCGACCAGGACTAGAACCTGGGTGCCGGCACTACAGGCGGAGGATTAGCCTATTGAGCCGTGGAGCTGGCTCATTTTTTTCTTTAAGAGCAATATTCAGAGGGGAAAAGAGCACATATTTATAACTTTTAAAACATCGTATTGCCAAATTGCCCATGTAGACATCATTACATCTTGAAATACAACCTGAAGGCTTGGGAGGTAGAAATGTCAGGCCTGCCTTTATCATCTCGTTTCTTTCACAGCCTGTCAGTCCTTGGGGACAGGTATGATGCTGAGTTCCTGGGCCACCTCCTCAATTGAAGAAGTGGCAGAAGCTGGTCCTGATGCACTTCGCTGGATGCAGTTGTACATCTACAAGGATCGAGAAGTCACTAAGCAGCTAGTGCGGCGGGCTGAGCAGATGGACTATAAGGCCATCTTTGTGACAGTGGACACCCCTTACCTGGGCAACCGCTTCGATGATGTGCGTAACAGGTTCAAGCTGCCACCACAACTCAGGTAACAATGATCATTGGGGCACTCTACTGGTTTGCTAATTCTCTCTGATTTTCTGTGAGCCAGTTCCAAAGACTTTCTCATTTTCAAGTGAGTGCCCTGGGTAGTTAGTTATAGCTATACCAAAACATTGCTCCCAAGGTGTAGTTTAAAGGAATCTTGATAAGCTCAACCTAGAAGTTCTAGGTAGGGTTCTAGAGATAGTGTCATTGTTAAATACCCACATAATTCTCTAGCAAGGGCACCTTTTTTGTGAGCATCATTTATTGAGCTATAAAATGGTATAGGAATTGCCTGTATACTTATCAAAGTCAGGAACATTTATGTACCAGAATGTATTAAGGGATTTGGGAAGTAGGGACCCAAGCACTTGGGCCATCTTCTGCTGCTTTCCCAGGTGCATTAGCAGGGGGCTGGCTTGGATGTGGAGTAGCCAGGACATGGACTAGTGCCCATATAAATTTTACTTTTAATTGTATTGGAACAAGAAGGGCTGGGAAGGTTGAAAAAAGAGAAAAGAAAGTAAAGATGAAGGAAACCACTACTTTGGCCAGCGCCGCGGCTCACGAGGCTAATCCTCTGCCAGCAGCGCTGGCACCCCGGGGTTCTAGTCCCAGTTGGGGCGCTGGATTCTATCCCGGTTGCTCCTCTTCCAGTCCAGCTCTCTGATGTGGCCCGGGAGGGCAGTGGAGGATGGCCCATGTTTGGGCCCTGCACCCCCATGGGAGACCAGGAGAAAGCATCTGGCTCCTGGCTTTGGATCGGCGCAGCACGCCGACCATAATAGCCATTTGGGGGGGTGAACAATGGAAGGAAGACCTTTCTCTCTGTCTCTCTCTCTCACTGTCTATAACTCTCTCTCTGTCTAACTCTGCCTGGCCAAAAAGAAAAAAAAAAAAAACCTCTTTGATCCCTTGTCTTCTACTTCTTTCCATAATAGTCCTCATTTGTTGAGATTCATCTGTGATCGATTCATTCATTTAGTCTCTCATTCTTCTTAGCAAAAGCAATATATCAAATAATCTTAAATTCAACAACTATGATTTTATCAGAGCTCTCAGCTTGTCCTTTAGAAGGGAATTGTTTTCCCTTACCTTTGGATCCTGTTGAGGCAAAGTTGGGAGCACAGTGGAGTTTACTGAGAGAAAATCCAATCTCTCTATACTATAGACTTATTTTTCCATTGTTTTTCCTTCTTCCAGTTACCACTGCAATATTTTCTTGGGCTTTTCATACCATGTATGACAGATGTGGGATAACCCTCAGGGCTAAAAGATTGGAACAGGGATCAAAATCTTAACTTTAGGAGCCAGCACTGTGGCATAATGGTTAAAGCCACTGCTTGTAGTGCTGGCATCCTGTATGGGCACTGGTTCGAGACTCTGCTGCTCCACTTCTGATCCAACTCTCTGCTATGGATTGGGAAAGCAGTGGAAGATGATCTAAGTCCACGGGCCCCTGTGCCCACATGTGAGATCTGGAAGAAGCTCCTGGTTCCTGGCTTCGGATCGTTCCAGCTCCAGCCATTGTCAGCCATCATGGGAATGAACAAGTGGATGGAAGACTCTCTCTCTCTCTCTCTCTCTCTTTCTCTCTCTCTGCTTCTCCCTCTCTATAAAATAAATAAAATTAAAAAAAATCTTAAAGGACATTTTGATGAGGGAATCCTAAAGCATCCAACAGAGTAGGTGAGATGTTGAGGGATGCCTTTTCGGGAGCCTGGATCTCATTCCACATGAGCCATTGTTTCCTCTGCCTATCCTTTAATTGTTTTGAAGCAACTAGAGCTAGGAAATTTGAATAAAGACAAAAGGGTAGAGATGAAAGAAACCACAAGTAAACACATTCTGCTTACTCTTCTAAAAGATTAAAGAAGTAAAAGAATCAGAACCAAACCAGCATTCCATGTAGAACAAAAAGACTATTGGAAGCCAGAGGTTTCATATATAATAATTCACACTGGAGTGTATCCCAACCACCGCATATGTCCATATACAATCTTGCATAAGTGTCACATAATCATCATGTGATTTGGCTGTGCATATGCCTAATGTGATTAGAAACTATTGCACATGAAATATCGCTATTGAGCCATATGTATGATAGCTCTGGGATGTCACCTCCTGATTCTGCCAGGCAAACTGAGGATGTTGTACTGTCCATGTACCAGCAGTAGATTAATTACAGAAGGAGAAAGTGTTCTCCAGGCCAGACCTGCCAATAAAATTACCCCACATATACCAGACGCAGAGTTACCAAGCACTCTGTCTTTAAAAAGAAATAATAATAATAATAATAATAAGGAAAAGTCCCTGACATAGTCTTATGCCTTGCCAAATGCATCAGAAAACAGATGATTTTAAATTTCCCTTAAAGGGAATTTGTACAATTGTTTACATTGTCTCTCTCCTTTGACTCCTTTTATTTAAAAATTTTTATATCATTACTTTTATTCATTTGAAAAGCAGAGAGAGAGAAAGAGAGAGAGAGAGATTTAGAGAGATCTCCCATCCTCTGATTGACTCTCCAAATGTCTGCAACGGCCAGGGCTGGGCCAGGAGGAAGCCAGGAACCTAGAACTCTATCTGGGTTTCCTACATGGGTGGCAGGGATAAAGCAACTTGAGCCATCACCTACTGCCTCCCAGAATGTGCATTAACAAGAAGCCGGAGTTGGGAGTGGAGCCAGGACTCAAATCCAGGCACTCCGATATGGGATACAGACATCCCAGGCAGGGTCTTAAGTTTTAACTGCTGTGCCAAATACCCACCTTTTTTGTAGACTTCCTGAAATAGTTTCCCATCATCTAGACTCCTTACAAGAAACATTCTTCATTATTTCTCCTTGGCCATTTGAAAAGGAGTTTTCTATTCCTTTTCCTTCACATCTTAATTCTACCTCTACTAATAATAACAAATAATAATAATAATAATAATAAATATTACAGTAAGGGTTTTTGTTTGTTTTTCACATTTTAAGAAACACTTTCTTGCTCTGGAAAGCAAAATACATTTCACAGAGGAATGGAAACAGATGGGGGAGATGGCACTGTTGTTAATTCTGGCTGGTACCTTGTGCTCCTCCAGCACTGGGGCCACTCAGGGAGGAGCTGGAAGGTTGATTTTCTTTCCCCCTTTTTCCTTTCTTTGCTCCTGGGCTCCTGCCCAGATGACGTGAACGACCATGAAACAAAGACCCCTTTCAGCTGCTGTTGTACACAGGAGTGGCCACAGTTCCCCAGTTTGTCACATCTCTGGGCTGAAGATGATCACAAAATGAGCAATATAACCAGGTTAGAGGGAACCCTAGTAACATCCCCAGCTGGGTGCAAAGAAACTGTCATTGTTTGTCCTAGGGAACGTCAAGGTAGTCAGTGCCTTCTGGTCATCTCTTCTGCAGCCCACATTCAGCTCTTGCAGGCAGGGTACTCAAATAGGAGTCCAGACTTCCCCTTGAGGCCACATGTGCCCCAAAAGCTCATCTGTTAAAGCCTGATAGGAAATCGTTTTCTTTCCGCAACTGACCTGACTCATGGAAGGTGAAGCCTGGCTTTTCAAAAGTGAGGTTTGGCAGGCAGGGGAGACAGGAAATCCAGAGGAGAATGAGTCGGTAAAGCAGTGGCTCCTTCCAGCCCTTGCTACTTCCTCTGCCTGGCTGGGGGGAGGGTCCCACTCTTGGCATCTGGGAGCAGCAAGAGTTCAAGGCTTTGGTAATCTCTGCTTGGTCTATATGCAAAACACATGTATGTTTGTGCATAAAAAATGGCATAGAAGTTCCTGAAACTGAGAGAAGTAAGGCAAATACTTATCTGCTCTAGAAAGAAGCAAGGAATGAAGACAGTTAATCAGACTGACTCCCAAGGCTTTTAGGTGTGGCTTTTTTTCTTTTATTCCTAAGATAAATTTATTGATTGATTTTTAAAGGTAGAGTGACAGAGAGAGAAGGGGGGAGAGAGAGAGGTCTTCCATTCATTGATTCACTCCCCAAATGGATGTAACCACCAGGGTTGAGACAGGCCAAACAAGGTGCCCAGAACCCCTACTGGGTCCCTTATATGGATGGCAGGGGTTCAAATACTTGGGCCATTGTCTGCTGCCTTCCCAGGTGCATCATCAGGGAGCTGGATAGCAAATGGAATAGCCAGGACTTGAACCACTGCTTGATACAAGATGATGGTGTTGCAGGTAGTGGCTATAAACCTGGCTCCAGAGAACTTTTGCTTTCTTTATAACTCCATAGAGATGCTCACATACCCTGTTCAGATTCTCATCTTTAGTGCAGTGCCAGGGAAGTTTAAAGAGAGAAAAAGCAATTTCTGATCTTGACTAAGATCAAAGTATATCATGTTATCTAGCCTTTCTGTGATTTGCCTAGTGATGTTATAAACCGCAAAGTGATTAGTCACAGCATATAGAAGAGGTCATACAAAGACAGAGTAGACCTTCACCATCTTCCTAGGTCTCTCTTGATGAAAGTGGTCTGTTGGACTCTATGTGAGCTGACCTTCACTACTTCTCTGCCTCACATCCAAGCACTCACAATCTCCCTATTCTGCCTGGCCACTCTGCTTCCCTGCCAGCCATGGTGAAACCACAGAGACTTAACACCTGCTGTTTCCTCTGACCATGATATTCCTCCCCCCTCCCCAAATCAGTACACCACTAACTACTTTTCATTAGGGATTAATCTACATGTCTCCACATTGGGAAAGCACAATAAAAATTGATGGTAGAGAATAGGATAAATATGCCTTTGATCAAGGGGGAGGAAAGCGGGGAGATTGATGGAAGACTTGGCACATGATCCAGTAGCATCTCAATTTTTTAGTCAGGTAAAGTTCCACATTGAGAAGTGTGGTAGGTCACGATTGTCCATGTACTAATGTCTGGATACTTTGCATGGCAAAATAGGCTTTGTAGATATGATTAAGCTAACGATCCAGAGGTGGGGGAAATTATCCTGTTTTATTCCACAAGGTTTGATTCAATTAAAAATGCCTTTAAAAGAGAGAAGCAGGAGTGTCAGAATCAGGGCAGATCAGATGATAGAAACAGAGGTTGGAGAGACAAAGCCAGGAGCCTGAGAAATTGACAGTCTTCAGAGGTTGGAAAAGGGAAAGAAATTGATCCTCCCTTAGCAACTCCAAATGGAATTCAGCCTTGTAGACACCTTGAGTTTAGTTCAGGAAGACTCATGTTGGGCTTCTGGCCTTAAGAACTATGATATAATATACGTATTTTTGATTTTAAACCTCCACATTTGTGGTTATTTGTTATAACAGCAAAAAAAGAAACAGAGATAATAACGTTGCTCTACTAATTCCTCCTTAACATAGCTTCTCATTGAGGCCAACCCTGATTACAATATTTACAATTTCAGTTTCAGCTTCTGCCAGTTCACTTCCCTCTGATCTGCTCCACTGTTTTCTTTATTTTATATAGTTCTTATTTTTAACAACTCCAATTTTCTTATTGATTATAATTATCCTGGGCAGATATTTTGTTTCATTTTCTGGTATATCCTAAATATCTAAAACCTTGGCAAATAGTAAGTGCTCAATCTGTAATTGTTGAATTAATCAATAAAAATTCACCACAACATGTGAGATCTTCTCAATGTAAGGTGACTAGTAAGAAGTTGAACCAGGATTTGAACTGAAACTTAAAATTCATTGTCTGAACCTTTGTTCTTACTGACTGGATACATTGATGAAGAAATTGTCATGTTTGATCTCAACTTAAGTGTTTTCCTAAACAAAGAATTGAAGGCTGGTTATCCATATACTAATCCCTATATAGACTCTAAACGTCTCTCTCAATCTTTTTCTCTTCATATTGTGTTGTACTAGTTGTTTTTATTTTATTTTATTTCCCAGTGTAGGTAACTGACTATCTTTATTATAAAATTATAAATATTTATAGCAAACAATATTAAATATTAATAACATTTTTAGTGTTACTATTCTTTATTTAATAATGTTTTGCTTTATTTAGTAGTTATTACTATTTTTATGTTGCTGACTTCTTAAAAACTAAATCAATTCTGTATTAGATTATAAAGGGCCATTCTAGGCATGAGTACCTTGTAATGAAGAAGTTCTCTTTCCTTTTAGTCATTAAACAGATTGAGATTCTAATAATTAAGTCCTAAGTAATAATGTTATTATTTTGATGCTGCCCTTTTTTTCTTCCTTACGAAATGGAAATCTTTGGTTATCAGAAGTTTCTTTAAGTGTTTTTTGTATAAATGTCATAATCTGAATAAAAATAGCATTCAAGGAGGTTTCTTTCGGAGCCACTGGTAAAACACTCCATCGTGGGTCTCTGTCAAGATATCTGAAAACTTTTTCTTGGCTTCTGGTTGTGAACAAAGTTTTAGAGTAACAACAAGGCTTCATTGTGCACTGAAGTTTCTGTAAGGCAACATTCATTCAAGTGTTGATCTGCATTTCGCCGTCCAAGAATAACAACAGTTATTTATATAATTTTATCCATGTTTCTGTTTTTTCCTATCCATTTCACCCTTTCACCTCACCCCTGCTGAAACACTGTGGCTTGTTTGGGATGGGGGTGGGTGCCATGTAGGGTATAGATGCATACAGATGTTTTTCTTTTTCCTGTTTCCCCCCCACCCATACCCCACCCAGGTTTTGCGAGGGATAGAAAGACTAGACTTTTTCTTATTATTATTCTTACTTAAAAGTTTGGAATTTGATATCATTTATTAGAAATAGAGTAGGTCTCCATAATAAGGATATGTTTATTTAACAAAAGTTTGGCTTCATTCATTCAAGTTAGAGTAACCATGAAAGGACAAATTCTATGATAAAATGTAGAGCCATAAGTGATTTGATAAAATCAAAATATTCCAGCATTTCAGCTTAAATCTCTACCTAAGTCCAATAATGATGTAAGTACCTATATAACTTTCATGGTGCTGGAATTTCTATGATCTTTAATGGGCATCTGAGTCCATGAGACTGTAGGACTCACTATCCAATCATTGTTGAGAAAACTTTGCCAAGGGATTGAATCAAGTTACATGGAATATGAATGTTCATGGCCTTATGATAATGTTTGCCACTTAAGTTATACAACCAATCATCTTAGCTGAAATACACTATAATGTAAAAAGCTTTAAACATAGTTTTGTATTAAGGGAAAGTGTAATTTTGTTAAAAATAAAAATAGTGTGATAAGAGGCTTCTGGGCCTATATAAATGTCTTTTATAGTCATAGGTCCAAGGTCTCTTCTATGTTTAGTTGCAGAGCTTGTAGAAGGGAAGAAAGAGCTAGCAATAAGCCAGAGAGATCAATATAAAGCTGAACTTTTGCCCCAAAGGAAGATTGGCAGGCAGGGTTATTTATAATGTATGTGGAATTGCAAGGTGAATCTAGATCACTGTCATGATTCCAAAACAGCCTTTTAGGAAATGACATTCACAGCTGGATTTTGGGAGGTGGGCCACAGAGTCACATGGATGGTGCCATTGTGTACCAAAATGGCCATCCTTGCAGCTAGTGCTCAGAGATGCAATCATAAAAGACTTTGCCTTTATTTGGGGAAACTGCCAAAATCTAGTAAGCATATTAGGAAATTAGTACAAAAGAAAAGATTTCAGGCCTAGGGTGATCCAGCAGCAAAATCTTGGCAGTGAGTTAGAGAAATACTGGTCTAAATGGGGACAATACAATTAGACATAGGAGAAGGCAGCAACTTAGTGGTGTTTTGTCTCAGTTTGGATTCATCTAGAATCAGACCATGAGCCAGTTATTTAAGGGTGAGAAGTTCATTTGGTAAGTGAAGGAAGCATTGGTAGTAGAAGTAGGGACATGGTACAAGGCAGAAAATGCAGCAAATAAAATGCAGGTTTTTTAAGACAACTACAATTATAGGCAAATGAAACTTAATGCTGCTTGGAAAATCTTAGAGCTTATGTTGAATTCATCTCACAGTTTAGCTAGAGGCGAGGTGCTGGGATATTTATACTTCAACATCCCTGACACTTCCAAGTCTGCTGTGCTGCTTATGTGGGTGGTGACACAGACCCCAAGATCAAGAAAGACCAACAGGCAAAGAGATGAAGGATTGATAAGTGGAAAGCTCATACCCTTGTAAAAGTCATCTGGAAGATTAGGGAAATTCGAGTAAGTACACAAAGCAGACAGAACAACTCCATGGAGGAGGTAAAGGCAGGAGTTGATGGTTTAGCTGCTAGGGAACACTTCCCATTTCTTCCCTTGCTTGCTAACACCATTGCTATAATAACAGGGCGGGAAAAAGAGTCTATAGTGACATTAGACAGAAGGTGTTAACACATGTTATTGCAGTTCCAACCTGCTTTAGAATTTTATCCAAGAACATTGGAAGGCTTCCTGAGGTCAGTTAGGATAGTCTGAATGGAAATGATATCTGGGCCGCCGCCATGGCTCAATAGGCTAATCCTCCACCTAACGGCGCCGGCACACCAGTTTCTAGTCCTGGTCAGGGCGCCGGATTCTGTCCCGGTTGCCCCTCTTCCAGGCCAGCCCTCTGCTGTGGCCCGGGAAGGCAGTGGAAGATGGCCCAAGTCCTTGGGCCCTGCACCCCATGGGAGACCAGGAGAAGCACCTGGCTCCTGGCTTCGGATCAACGCGGTGCACCGGCTGCGGCGGCCATTGGAGGGTGAACCAACGGCAAAGGAAGACGTTTCTCTCTGTCTCTCTCTCTCACTATCCACTCTGCCTGTCGAGAGAAAAAGAACAGAAATAAAAATATGGAAGGAAAGGAAAAAAGAAAAGAATGATATCTGGATAGTGAGAATATAATTAGAAGTTAAGAGACTCAGGTTGGAGCCCAAATGTTACCATGAACCAGTTTTTTCCCCATGGTGGGACATCTTGTTCTATACTTCTGTTTTAAATTTCTAAGTAAAATGAGAATCATGGCATATTAATTTTACTTTCTTGGGGCTGGCTCTGTGGTGCAGCAGGTTAAAGCCCTGGCCTGAAGCGCCAGAGTCCCATATGGGCGCCGGTTCTAGTCCCAGCTGCTCCTCTTCCTATCCAGCTCTTTGCTATGGCCTGGGAAAGCAGTAGAAGACAGCCCAAGTCCTTGGGCCCCTGCATCCATGTGGGAGACTTGAAAGAAGCTCCTGGCTCCTGGCTCCTGGCTTTGGATTGGCACAGCTCTGGCCATTTCGGCCAATTGGGGAGTGAACTAGCAGATGGAAGACCTCTCTCTCTGTCTCTACCTCTCTCTGTAACTCTGTCTTTTAAATAAAAAAAAATTACTTTCTAAAAGATATTTAAGGAAAAATTATGATAATATTGGCATTGGAAAGCCCCGTTTAAATTATTAAGTGCCATGGAAATGTTTTTTGTTATATTTCATTCTCATTGATGGCCTAAAATAGCATCAAGTCTATTGTCCAAATCCAGAAACTAGCTTAAAAAGAAGATATTCTAACATGCCCACATATTTTCCTTGAAATGCATTTTTTTTTATAAACACAGTCTAAGATGTAAACTAAACATTAGTGGTCAATTAAAATCATAAGGCTGTCACATTTAGCCTGAAACCCTACATTAAAACATTGGATATGTGCATGTAACCAACCTATAGATGGTTGAGGAGAGAAGTGCCAATTATTATCAAAAGGGTAACTTTTCTCATCTAATCAATCATTGTAAAGATATGTCTAACTGAGAAATTTCTCATTTTATGTGTCTTATTGTTTCAGACTGAAAAATTTTGAAACCAATGATTTAGCATTTTCTCCTAAGGAAAATTTTGGAGATACCAATGGACTTGCTGCATATGTGGCTAAAGCAATAGATCCATCTATCAGCTGGGAAGATATCAAATGGCTGAGAGGACTGACATCACTGCCAATTGTTGCGAAGGGCATTTTGAGAGGTTTGTTCATTTCTTTACTTGTGTCCATATGGATTTTATTATCATTTGTAAATAGGGTCATGATATAGTCTTATTTAATTTTATTTATTTATTTAAGAGGTAGAGTTACAGATAGAGAGAGGGAGAGACAGAGAGAAAGATCTTTGCATCTGCTTGTTAACAACCCAAATGGTCCTAATGGCCAGAGCTGGGCTGATCTGAAGCCAGGAGCCAGGAACTTCGTCCAGTTCTCCCACACAGGTGCAGGAACCCAAGCACTTGGGCCATCTTCCACTGATATCTTAGGCCATAGCATAGAGCTGGATCAGAAAAGGAGCAGCTGGGGTATGAACCAGTGCCCATATGGGATGCCCACATCACAAGTTGGGGCTTAGCCTACTCCACCACAGTGCCAGTCCCCATCGCATTATAATTTTAACATATTTATTTGAGAGGACGAGGACAGACAGATAGACACACACACACACAAACACACACATACATACATACATACACCGAGACAGGCAAAGAGCTCCCATATGCTGGTTCATTCCACGGTGTCTGCAGTGGTTCCCTGGCTGGGACCAAAATTGGGACCTGGGAGCTCAATGCAGGTATCTCACGTGGGTGGCAGGGAGACAACTACTGGAGCCATGGTCTAACACCTTCCAGAATGCATATTAGCTTGAAACTGGAATCAGCAGCAGAACAAGGATGTGAACCCAAGTTCTCCAACATAGAAGGTAGGCATCTTAACCACCATACCAAATACTCACTCTTGGTCATGACATTCTTAAGGGAAAGCAGCTAGCTAATCAGGAAAAATTAACATGGAAATAAGACATCCTAACCCTCAATTCTCTCTTTTGATGTTAGTGAGTAACTTTCTTCTCATTCTCAGGTAATATACTGAAGTAGAAGCATGCTCTCATAAGTAGAGAGTAATCTTTTTCAAAGTACTGGGATATCATTGCCTTATTTTGGAGCTGTTACTAACACATGGAGCTTAGCAAAATCTTGGTAGAACATCATTAATTCACTGTTTTGCTGGAAAGCTACAAACAGTTGCTCTCAGAGCAAAGAAAACCTCAAAGAATGGTAATATGAGAGTCAGACTGGTTTTTAGAGCATTTTCTCTTTTACTGTTATTCCTTCCAAGTACAAATTGTTATGACTAATGTCTTTAGTTTGGTAAAACCCACATCGTATCTCTGTAGAGAATGGTTGACTAGGACAGTAAAATCCTCAACTACCAAGCTGTGAGTATTACAGAACTTTTCCTCGGCATCTGCCTGTCCTCGAATCCCACAGGGAGATACCAATGACTATAATAATTTTGGAGTGTAAATGTGTTCACCCACAAAAATGTTTTCCTGCCTTTGAAAATATATTTTCTTAAGTATGGTTATATAAGTAACTGCCAAAAACATTTTTTAAACTGAAATGTTTGAGTAATTCTCTCTGGCAGGAGAGAATCTATAATTTATCTGAAGTCCAACAATGACTTAGAATCAAGGCTTCTTTACAGGTTTTAGTCGAATGTACATGAGTCATAATCTGTGCTTTTGAAAAATATTATATACTATTTCCTATTAACCATCATCCTAGTGGAAAACTACTGAAAACTGTAGTTCAGTGAACATATCCTGATTTACACATACTTTTAAACACGTTTCACTCACCTTACTTGCATCCACATCCTATTCCATGATTGTCAGTGCAGCTGCCTGTGGCCACATGCAAATGTCTCTACAAAAGATTGTTAACCTGAAGGTTCCGTGCCATTCATTCACTCATTCATTCATCCATCCATTCTCTTATTCACTCAGTCACTCCTGCATTTCAAAGACATTTATTCTGCTTACTGTGTTATGAAATTGTTATAAAAAGTAACTTACGGTCCTTTCCAAAGAGCAGCCTGCTCCTATAGGAGACAGACATATAGACAAGCAATTTCAGTACAATAAAATATCAATGATGTTGAGATAGAAATCTATGTCATATAAAAGCGTAGGTTAGAAAATGGGTTAGCAATGACAAAAAACAAAAAGTAGAAAAGGTTTTATTCCAGAATAAAATATGATGCTTGAGTTTTATGATGATATCAAGTCAATAGACTACATTTCAAACTGAAATCCCGATAGAATGAACCAGCTATGAGTAATGATTTCTACAATATGTAAACTATGGTAGAGAATGTAGATGTTAAGGTGGTTAAGAACTGCTGATGTGGGCCGGCGCTGTGGCTCACTTGGTTAATCCTCCGCCTGAGGCACCAGCATCCCATATGGGCACCGGGGTCTAGTCCCGGTTGCTCCTCTTCCAGTCCAGCTCTCTGCTGTGGCCCAGGAGGGCAGTGGAGGATGGCCCAAGGCTTGGGTGCCTGCACCTGCATGGGAGACCAGGAGGAAGCACCTGGCTCTTGGCTTCAGATCGGCTCAGCGCTGGCAGTAGTGGCCATTTGGGGAGTGAACCAATGGAAGGAAGACCTTTTTCCCTGTCTCTCTCACTGTCATCTATAATTCTACCTGACAAATAAATAAATAAATAAATAAAATAACTGCTGATGTATCTTGATCATGTCAGCAGTCTCATCACATTAGCATTTTAGAAAATCATATTTTATAAAAAAAATCATATTTTATACAATGGACATAATATATATAGTGGTGGCAAAAGTGTTATTGGAGAGGATGTTGTGGAACTGTTTACCCAGGTAAGAGATGAGTGTAGGTGACAGGTGTTGGGAAGCTTTTTTTTACTGCCCACGGCCATTTGGATATTTATAAAATAATTCACAGGCCATACCGAATTATTCACTTAAAAATTAGCCTGCTATAGAGTTACTGAATTTTGAGTCCCACCTGCAGTTGCCTTGGGAGGGCCAGACCAGATGATTTCCTGGGCCTCATATGGCTTGTGGAGCAGACGTTCCATACTCCTGCCAGAGTAATGACAGAGAGGGGACTGAGAAGATATGACTAAAGTACAGTTAACCATTGTCATGGCCCAGGGCAGCTAGCTTGAAAACACTAAGGAAAAATAAAATTCTAATCTAGTCTCAAATTTTCTCAGTTAAATAGGGAACTAATAGAAGAATGAGATTATATCATTTGTAAACCAACTTTTTGATTTAGGATTCCCAATTCATATCATTTTCTGCAATTTCATCACCTAGGTTATGATGCAAATCCACTTAATTAGATTTGTTATCATGTGTGAAAATGTATAAATAAGCATATGTGATATTGAAAAATCCAGTGGCTTCTAGATTTTCAATCTGTAATAATTTGACCTTGTACTCTGTCACCACCGCTTTTCTTTATTTCTGAGTCATATGTATAATATGCCTTGTTTCTACATGTTTTCATAAAGTTTAGCACATAGAGAATAACTCCAATGTTTGTTGGGCAAAATCCTCAGTGAAAATTATATGAGTCTATATAATTAAAGAGAGCTCCAAAAGCAAAAGAGGGTTAGGGCATTTGACATTTGAAAGGAACTGACTTATTTATTCATGTGCAGTTTACATTGACCAGCTTTCTGTAACTATCTGTTTTATTTATTTAACAAACAAGAATCATCTCTATGACAACAACTCACTCAAGTAGCACATATGCTCAATCTGGATGGGGGGAAGTGGTGGGAAATTCAGTGCTGGGAAATTCAGTTCTTAATATTTCACAAGTCTTCATTCAGAAGTCACATGGATTGAATGAAAGGCATCTATCCTCTTTCATTTTCCTTTTACCAGAAAGTGCAGATTATGTTTGCAGGACCATGAAATCATGAGCAACTGGAAAGGTCTAGATGAAACATCCCACCCTTACAACCATTTTAAGACTTACATTTTAATGAATGCAAACTGGAATGCAATATGTAATCTCTTGGTGTGGTTAGGCTCTGCCCTAGGAGAATGTCAACACAAGCTCCAAACATGTCCTTCAGACAGAATTTGGTCGTTGTCATAACTCATGCTAATGAACAGATAAGTTTCATGCATTAAAGAATAATGCTTGTTAAAGTTTCCTTTTTCCTTTTCCTCCCCTCCCCTCCCCTCCCCTCCCCTCTCCTCCCCTCCCCTCCCCTCCCCTCCCCTTCCCTTCCCTTCCCTTCCCTTCCCTTCCCTTCCCTTCCCTTCCCTTCCCTTCCCTTCCCTTCCCTTCCCTTCCCTTCCCTTCCCTTCCCTCTTTCTTCTCTTCTCTTCCCTCCTTCCCTCCCTCCCTCCCTCCCTTCCTCCTTCCTTTTTTCTCCTTTCTTTCAGCTGAAGCTGTCTTATATCCATTATGATTTTTTGTTTCAGAGAAACTGTTTTCTAATTAGTTCTTTTCATATGCACATTTCTTCAAACATTCTCAAAGAATATTTACTCATAGTTTGTGAATTATGTTCAAAATTGCCACCATGTGGAGAAGACTTCAAAAAGCTCATGGAAAATGGATCTAAAAGATAGATTTATTTTGATGTAAAATATCGAAATCCATGCCTAGCTATTTCAGAATATATGTTCTCATAAACTCTTTGAAAATCCCTCATAGTTAGGGTATAGTTACTAAACACCTCTAAGCCAGTACTTTTTTATTTTATTTTATTTTTTTATTTTTTGACAGGCAGAGAGGACAGTGAGAGAGAGAGAGAGACAGAGAGAAAGGTCTTCCTTTGCCGTTGGTTCACCCTCCAATGGCCGCCGCGGCCGGCGCTCTGTGGCCGGCACACCGCGCTGATCCGATGGCAGGAGCCAGGTACTTATCCTGGTCTCCCATGGGGTGCAGGACCCAAGCACTTGGGCCATCCTCCACTGCCTTCCCGGGCCACAGCAGAGAGCTGGCCTGGAAGAGGGGCAACCGGGACAGAATCCAGCGCCCCGACCGGTACTAGAACCCAGTTTGCTGGCACCACAAGGCGGAGGATTAGCCTAGTGAGCTGTGGCACTGGCATAAGCCAGTACTTTTGAGAGAGCCCTGAGTTGAAAGATCCCAGAGCATAAGGGTAAATCCTGAATACTTACATTTGGCCTTGAT